TTCAAAGGTTTCCGAGTAGCAACCACGGAACAAAGTCAGAATGTTTTTGATTTCCCGTCCGCGCCCCCGCGCATGAGAAACAATACCAAGAGGACAGACAAGGAAGCTCAGAAGCACGATTTCGCGAACAGAGACATTCAACGCTCCACCACGGAGGAATCGGGTGCACATCAAGACGTACAAGCTAGCATGGATACTGCCGCAAACATTGATTTCACGCATCCAAATATACTTGCCTCGCCAACCAACGCCCTTAACATTGTTTTCCGACCTTCGCCTGTTCCCTAACAAGAGATAAAATGAGAAGTTCCGCACTTTTGCCGTGGCCCAGGGCTTCTTATTGCTCATTTTACATATGGATGGTTTTCAATTAACAACAAGCGGGGGGAAACAACGCATTTGCATGGTGTGCTTTGCCGTGCGACAGCTCCTCGCCTTAATTCTGCGCGAAGTCCTGGTCACGCAGACGTTGAAAAAGAATGCGATTGGATTCCTCCACTCCTAATCCAGCGGGTAATCGCTCTGATTCCGTTCCCGTCCAATGTTTTCCTTTATTCTCTCACCGTTCAGAATACGCGATGGTTACTGGCTTTAGTTCCGTTGAAGATCTTCTTCGTCCCTATCTTGTGTCAACTATCTCGTCCCAACAAGAAGTAGCGGTAATCGTCTATTTTTTTGTTTCCCTGCCGCACGTACGCGGACGCAATGGCATGCGAATCGTCGTATCTGCTCGGAAATGTGTGAGCTTTGCCTACGAATGAGCCCCGAGCTTACCACGCACTGGCGGATGCAAACCATGGTTTTATGGCCGTGTCGGATATGCTCCACGCTCGCACCCATCACGGACACGCAATGCGTCCACTGCGAAGCGAGGACGACTTACTTTGGTTTCCCCGTTCTCCCTGCTCTCCTCATGAAAACGCAGGCCTCACCGACATGGTGGACTAGACCGCAAGAGAAATCCGGCAAAGCCCGCCGTTTTATGGCAATCAATTCTAGTTCCTCTTCGTTTTTCTCTTCCCCAAATCGTTACTCACCTTTTTCATTATTTTTTGTCTCCCTCATTTTTTTTCCTCTTCCTCTTTCTTTTTTTTCTCCATCCTCCTCCACTTTCGGAAAAATACAAAATTCACGCAACAAAGATTACGGGACATTGCAGAATGTATTGAAACCAATTACTGTGATATTAGAACCGATCACATCAATACCAACACTTATCTTTGATACCGAAATATATAAACAATATCGAAACTGATCGTCGATATTGAATCCCGTATTGCCAAAATAAACATTGTTGCGAACACAATAAAATGTAATTTCTTCTTTCGTTCGGCGATCAACATTTTTTACGATTCTGATGGTAGATCACGTATTACGTAATATGCAACACGAGCTAATTATGGAATGCTACATCGACGTCGTCATTAAAAAATTAGCCGTCTGGGGGCCTATAGTATTGGCATGTCCTGAACATATCTCAGGATGCCTTTAGGATAACATGATAATGTCTTACTGCGATCAGCGATGTACCGAAACTCAACGACCTACTCCGGACATTCCCACCACGCCTGGCGCATCTCTGCACTGGCATTCACGATGATTCCATATATTTCGCCTTTTCTTTTAATTGTTGGGCTCCCGGAACCATTGGGAATGGCTGCAAAACTTGCATGACATATTTTACGAGAATGTGATAAATCAACAAAAATTGCAACTTTTGTTGGGCGGGGGCGTTACCTGCAACCTACTGGACCAATTGTGCCGACGTCCTCCCGGATATCCTAATGCGATATCCTTCCATAAACCGAAACACTGTTTCAATTGACGACCCTCTGAAACACGATCGGGGCACACCTTGGACTTGCTGCGTTAATCGATACTGAATTGGCTGGAATCGTTCACAGACACAAATCAGGCAAACAAACCAAACTGGGCAAACAAGAGCTCAACCACCACAACCGTCGGCTGACCATATCGAATTGGGAGGATGGCCGTACGGATGGCAATTCCACATAACTGACAATTTGGAATTCTCCGCATATCACCTGCTACGGCGAACACTTTCAGCACAAAATGACCAACCAAACTCTGTGTCCAATGGAAAAACACGGTTCCACCCTTGTATGGGGCCTTATGCGACGGTATGGATGGCAATCTGTCCGAGCTACAACATTGGATGATGACAAATTTCTATGTGCGGTGCGGCGAGGATCAAGGATTGCAGCTAATTATGATGGTCTTGAACCATCATAGGCCTTCGCACTCAATTTGTTCATTGAACTCAACTTTCTCGTCGTCGTCCTCCTCCTCCTCCTTCTCCTCCTCCTGGTCTCCACCCCATCGGAGCCGCGATACAGGCAGTGCGGGCAGCACCTCGACCTCATGGAGGATGAGCACGACGAACGTTGTTGGTGGACGTCCGCCCTTGCCCTCTCCCCCCCCGGTGAGGACCATCATAGGCCTTGCCAGTGAGGACCACCATGAGGCCTCACACCCCTCGCAGTTTCCATCATTGGTACTGCGGGGGTCGAACCAAATCCCCACAAACCTGGCACCGTACGTGCAGTGCCAGGGGCGGCGGCCCGTCTTCCCATCCTACCATCATAGGAGGATGCGAAGTCCCTGAAGACGGGACGGGGTGGGCACGAGCGGGCATCATAGCCGGCTCAAAATCAAAAGAGGGACCATCATAGGCCTTCGCACTCAATTTGTTCATTGAACTCAACTTTCTCGTCGTCGTCCTCCTCCTCCTCCTTCTCCTCCTCCTGGTCTCCACCCCATCGGAGCCGCGATACAGGCAGTGCGGGCAGCACCTCGACCTCATGGAGGATGAGCACGACGAACGTTGTTGGTGGACGTCCGCCCTTGCCCTCTCCCCCCCCGGTGAGGACCATCATAGGCCTTACCAGTGAGGACCACCATGAGGCCTCACACCCCTCGCAGTTTCCATCATTGGAACTGCGGGGGTCGAACCAAATCCCCACAAACCTGGCACCGTACGTGCAGTGCCAGGGGCGGCGGCCCGTCTTCCCATCCTACCATCATAGGGGGATGCGAAGTCCCTGAAGACGGGACGGGGTGGGCACGAGCGGGCATCATAGCCGGCTCAAAATCAAAAGAGGCATCATAGCCTCATCAATCAAGATTGATCCACTCACGGATCCACCGCACTTGAATTTCATTGAATTCATTCCATGCGTAGCATGCTCTCCCATGGGCATGCTCGTTTAGCTGACACTACAGGCGGTCGTTTGATCGCACGACATGGGATGGTAGGCGGCAAATCCGAATCGAAGCAGGAGGGCATGTACCAAATCGCACAGATCGAACGGTTGCTGCGTAATTCATACATCCAAATGGACCCACACGACCAACGATGTTAGGATATTCTGGCAACCAGTTTATCAATCTCGCGCGGGTTGCCATTGTTTTGTGATGTTACGATTGTATCTCCTATCTCTCGAAATAAGACGGCCCGCCCAAGTACGAGCAATCAGAACGGCAGCCTGCAGCAAACGATACAACATATTCTGAGATACGGACAAACGGCCTCGGGACAATACTATGCTTGGGTGCAGGAACATACGGAAGATGGAGTAAGCAAACCGTGTGGCTCGTACCAGCTTTGGGAACCCAGCGGGCACGTCAATTGCATTCGCGCATACGCAAGGGCGCAGCTCTCTCGTCTTTACATCGCTGGTGGGGCCTGCTCGGCATCGCTCTGCAAACATCTGAGCACCAAAGCGCCTCAAGCTTCCTTTGCCGACAACGCATTTCAAGCATAACCCGACGATGAAGAACTCAACTGGCGGCGTTGAAACTGTTGACGCATTTTCACTGCCGTTGAAGCCGTCTGTCCGAACGGCACGGAAGACAATCGGGCTTCCGTACCATCCCAGAATCAGTTGGCACGCTCAGGGCCAACTCTCGACCTGATCTTCCGAAAAGCGTTCCTTTACCAGGCTCGCTCTAGGTCCCTTGGGACCGTGGGGGGAGGGGAGGCTCAAGTCACCCAGTGGGGGCTCTGAGATACTCCGCCTGAGCGTTCCCGAATGACGTCTTCATCCTGGGGCGGCGTAGCCATTTGGGGAAAGTGCAATCCAGTAGTCAGCAGAAGCCAATAACACCAGACAGAGCCGACCTTTTATTTATACATCTTCCCCATCATCACAGTGAGAGGCGCGTGCGTCCAAGTATGCGTGTCCCTGCGCGTTTTCCTGAGACAACGGCCATGCGTGACATTTTCTGACCATGCGTTGGCATTGTCCCTGTGGCGCTCAGCCAACAACAGTGTGCGCATCAGCGCCGAGCTCAGCTGGGTGCCTCTTTCGACCTCATCTCAAGAGCGCACACACACACACACACACATCGCACATTGCTGCCATCGATGGCACACAAGCAGAAGTGTACCAATATGCTGCCATGCCACCTGCTTATACTTCATATTATACGGCCCTTTGCTTCATTCACGCCAGGGGGGTGAATGCCTGCTTGAAATCGGCTCCCCGAACCGCCTTCGGCACTACGCGGCAAGGCCGGGCTCGTGCCTGGGACAGATCCAGCTGCGCCGACGTACGCGATCCCTGGCGCGATCCGTCATGCGCGCGGACCCCGGGGACTTCCAGCCACTGCGCTGCAGCATCGGGCCCGTGCGGCAGAGACGCTGACCGACACCGCGGCCTCGCGGCGCGCACGCTGCCAGGGCTCGGCTCAGAGGGGCCGGGCGCCCCGCAGCGCGGGCGCGGGCGCGCACGCGGCGCCGCCCAGGCCGCGCAGCGGCGCCGCGAGCGGGGGCCGCAGGCCCGCCGCCCTCTGTCGCGGCGCCTCTCGCGCCTCCCTCGCCGCCGCCCGCGGCCCGCCCGCGGCCCCGAACCGCCGCGGCGCCCCGCAGCGCCACCCGCCGGCGCGGCCCGCCGCGCCGCGCCGCGCGGCCGTGGCCAGCACGCCGCCGCCGCGCCGCAGAGGCCGCGGGCGCCGCCGGCCTGCAGGCGCCGCCCCCGCGGCCGGCCGGGGGCCCAGTGCCGCCCGCGCGGCCGCAGGGGCGGCCGCCCGAGGCGGCGCGCCGCTCGGCGGGGCGCGGCCGGGCGCACGCAGCAGGCGGCCGAGCTGCGTCTGCTCGTCCAGGAGCTGGTGCCGCGGCAGCTGCAGCAGGGGCGCGTAGGCGGCCGTGGGCAGCTTGAGCAGCGGCTGGCGCTGCAGCCTCGCCTCCGCGCGCGCGTCGCTGCCGAGCAGGACCTCCGCCTGGGAGCACCCGATCTCCTGGGCCAGCCCCTGGACCGCGAGCGCCCCGTCGGCGGCGTCGATGAGGAGCCAGCGGCGCTGCCAGTGGTCTTGAGAGACACCGTCCGTGAGCAGCAGCCGGCGGAACATCGCGTGCAGTGCCAGGTACTCCCGCAGGTCGCAGTGGAACTCGGGGAACTCGGCCGCGAGGCGCTCGAGGCCCCCCAGGTCCAAGTCTCGGTACAGCGGGTGCCCCAAGATCCCAACGACGTCGGTGCGATTGTGGAGCAGCTCTCGGAGCAGGTCGCGCCACTTCAGGAAGAACGCGTCGCGGGGCCTGGTGGCCAGACACCAGCTCTCCACGAAATCCCGCGAGCCGAACCTCGCCGTGCCGTACCTGGAGAAACAAACAAACAACTGCATGGACATGATTGCTCGGAGATCCCCGTGGCTCCCTTGGATCGGCGCTGGACCCCCCTTCCTGGCTCGCGGAGCGCGACAGGGGCGGCGCCGGAGGCGCTGCCAGGGGGGTCCCAGCGCCGACCCAAGAAACCCGCGCGGAGCTCAGAGAAATCATGTTTGTGCCCGAGTGCCGTCGGTGGAAGAACGCCGCGCTGCCGTACTGCCCCGCGTCGATGCCAGACCAGATGAGCTCGTCGAGATCGCGCGTGAGGATCACCGAGGCGTCCAGCCAGACCCCGCCGTAGCGCGCGAGCAGTGCCAGGCGCACGCAATCCGCGGCCAACTGCGGGGAATCGATCTCCAGGAAGCGGCCCGGGAGGTCCACCTCCGACAAGTACTCGAACACAGTCGACCTGTCGAGAATCTGCACCTGACGAAAGAACAACACGCACTCACGCCTATAGTGAGAAGAAATGGGGAAGGGCAAGGCGATGGATACGCTATAGGAACGGGTGCGGATTATCGCCGGACGCCGAGGGGGCTCCCATTCGAGCGAGGACCCCCATCCGACAACACACACACATTCGCACACACACACACACGCATACACGCACACACGCACACACGCACACACGCACACACGCACACACGCACACACGCGCACACGCGTACACGCACACATATAGACACATGCACGCACACGCACACACACATGCACACGCACACACAAACACACACACACACACGTACACACACGCAAACACACAGCACACACATAACCACACAAAACACACAACACACACAACAGACACAACAGACACAACAGACACAACACACACAACACACACAACACACACACACACCACACACAAGACACACACAACACACAACACACAGCACACAACACACAACACACACAGCACACAACACAAACAACAGACACAACACACAACAAACACACCACACACATCTTGCACACCACACACAACACACAACACACAAACACACACACAAGCCACGCACACACACACTACACACAACACACAACCCACACCACACACAACACACACACACGCACTACACACAGTACACAGACAACACACAACACACACAACACACAGACACACACACACACACGCACCCACGCGCGCGCGCACGCACACACGCACGCACGCACACATACCCACACACACACACATCCACACACACACACGCACACACACACACACACACGCAAACGCATACACACACGCACACGCACACACACAGACACACATGCACACGCACACATACAGACGCACACACACACACACGCACACGCACACGCACACACACAAACACAACACACACACACCGCACACACAGGCTCACACACACACACCACACACACACACACACACGCGCACACACACAACGCACACACACACACACACGCGCACACACACCGCACACACCACACACACACACCGTTCCCCCCAACACACGCACACACACACACATCCACACACCCACACACCAACACACACCCCACACACCCACACACCCACACACCCCACACACACACCCACACACCACACACACCCACACACACCCACACACCACCACACACACACACAACACACACACACGCACACGCACACGCACCACACACGCACACACACACGCACACGCACACGCACACGCACACGCACACGCACACGCACACGCACACGCACACGCACGCACACGCACGCGCACACGCACACGCACACGCACACGCACACGCACACACACACACACACCACCACACACCACACACATACACACCCACACCCAAACACCCACACACCCAAACACCCAAACACCCACACACCCACACGCACACACGCACACACCCACCCCCCCACCCCCCCACCCCCCCCACCCACACCCCCACACACCCTTGCACACTCAAACACAAACACAAACACAACCACAATCACAATCATAAACACAATCACAATCACAAACACATACACAAACAAACACACACAACCACAACCACAACCACAACAACAACCACAACCACAACCACAACCAGAAACACACACACAAGCACAAGCACAAGCACAAGCACAAACACAGACACAAACACAACCACAAACACAACGACAATCACAAGCACAACCACAATCACACACAAACACACAAACACACACAAACACAAACACACACACAAACACACGCAAACACACACAAACACACACACACAAACACACACACACACAAGACACACAGCCCCGCCGGATTCCACCCCGAGAAATCTGCTGTTCGCATTAAGTATGAGTGCTGGTTGTCAGCTCATTGGCACCCGCCAGCGCGGGCTGTGCCTCGTCCAAGTCTCGACGCACAGCCTGAAGAGCTCTGGCATGCTGGCGGCGCCCTGGTGCCAGTAGGCCCACACCGTCCGCGGCCCCACGGAGCCGCTGAGGCTCCGGGCGGGCGTGCCGTGCTGGTTGTGGGCCCGCCGGAAGCGCTCCACGAGGCTCTCCTGCGTTCCTGCGCCGTCGGCCCCCGGCGGGCTGGCCACCTGCGCCGCGCCGGCGGCGCGCTCCCGCGCCGCGCTGAGCCCAGCGGCCCCGTCTGGGTGGCCGGTGGGCCCGTGGCGCCAGTCCTCGTCGCCCTCCCAGGGGCCGCCCAGGCCCTCGGGGGGCCGCGTGGCCGCCGCTGCCGCCGCAAGCTGCTGCCCAGGCGCTCCTCCGGCCTTCGGTGGTCTGGGCCGCTGCGCGGCGCTCGCGGCCTGGCGGCGCGCCGTGTCCCACCGCGCTCGGAGCCTGGCGGCGCCCTCTGGGTGGCCGGTGGGCCCGTGGCGCCAGTCCTCGTCAGGGCCGGACCTGAGCGTTGGTTTTCATTTCGTTTCGTTTTGTTTTTCGTTCTGCTCTACCTGTTTTCTCCTGTACCTCCCTGCCACAACGAAAAACAGAACACAGTCGAAGTCCAGCAAAACAGCGTTTAGGTCCAGCCCTGGTCCTCGTCGCCCTCCCACACGAAGCTGGGGCCCTCGGAACTGGCCGCAGGCTCCGCCATGCCGAGTGCCCGTCCGAGCTCGAGCCAAAATGCCACGAGGATGGCGTTTCTGGTCGTTCCCCACCCGGCAGATTGAGGCGGTTGGACTGCAAGAGAAGAGCTCCCGACCCGTCCCGCACACCCTGCGGCCGCCAGGCCAAAGTGTGCCGGTGCTACCTGGGTGCACCCCCTCATGCCTCTGACGAATGACGACTGCATGCCGGGGCCGCCAAGCCCAAAGTGTGCCTGGGTATCCGCCACCCCCTGTGGCTTGGCACAAAGAAGGGTGCGCGGCGTGTCAGACTTATAAAGAAAAAGCGCTGGTTCTCGTCCTAAGGTCCCAGCGGGGTCTCAGCCCAGCCCGGCGGCCACCCGGAGAACTCTCGGGTCACGGGTCTTACCGCTCCAGGAAGCTGCCGGGAGGCTCTGAGAGAGCCTCGAAAAGGACACCTCTTCTTCCTCCTTCCTTCTCTTCCTCCTTCTCCTTCTCTTCCTCCTTCCTTCCTTCCTTCTTCTCCTTCTCTTCCTCCTTCTTCTCCTTCTCTTCCTCCTTCCTCCTCCTTCCTTCTCTTCCTCCTTCTCCTCCCTCTCCTCTGTCCCCTCCTCTTCCTCCTCCTCTTCCAAATGTTCCCCCAAACGGGTCCACAACGGCTGGGGGAACCCATAGTCCAATAGCTTCGCCATACCTTGGCTCAACGTTTGGCCGCATGGGCGTTTGTTAAAAGCAGGGGGCGGCGGTAATTCGCCGTAGGCGTCTTCGATCCGCCTCGCGTTCTTGGGTGGGGATCGCTCGAAACATAATCATTAAGGGATGGGATTTTATATTACCTGGCGGATTCTGGGCGCCCTGAACCCATACATGTCGTCATCTCAGAGGGGCGCGTTCTTCACTTCCGCCACTCTCAACGGCCCTTCCCCTGGCTTCCGCCGGCGGAGGCGGCCCTGTTTTCCTTTCGCCGCCCTTCCGCTGAGGAAACGATGACATTTCCTTCGACCATCGAAGGCACGGCGTTTTTTTTTTTTGTTTTTTTTTTTTTTTGTTTGTTTTTGTTTTTTTCTTTTTTTTCCTTTCCGAAAGCCAGACCTGCGAGACCGACCAAGCCCGCCGCGGATGTCTGCGGTGCGCCGGGACTCCCTGGGGTTCGGCGCGCGAGCCCGGGGGAGCGAGACCCGAGGGCTTAGGGTGCCAATGAAGGGGCCCCAGGACACACAAATAAATACACACAAATAAACATATTCCCTATATTTTCCCACGTTTTCTGGGTTTCTGTCTTCCCCCCACTTCCCATATTTTCCAATATTTTCTGGGGAATCGAGGATTAATTGTGTCTGTGTTTTTTTTTTCCCCCTCCTGAGCCAAGCCGATCCCCCCCGAACGATTCGTTTGTGCTTCTCGGCTGACGGTGACCGCGGCGACGGCGGTGGTCCCGACGACGGCACTTTTGCAGCGGCCTGGGAGGACCGAGGTGCCAACGACGAAGACGACGCTGCACGGCGCTGCGCGGCACTGGCCCAGGAGAGCTGCGGCGGAGGTGGCCCGCACGCCCGGCCACTCGGCGAGAGCACGGCGCATGCCACCTCGCAGCAGGTCGGGCGTGTCCTCCTACGGGGGGAGATTGGGCGACGAAGAGAAACAATTAGTCAAACATGCGCAAAAATAGTCAGCACGCAATCAACAAATCATCCCCCGTACTATTTTTTTGACGATTTTAGAACATCCCTCCTGTGGAGGGACGTGCCCGACCGGAAGCTTGCCTTGACTCGTGGAGGTCGTGTGTCTGGGGTTGAAGTACAAGGGTACAGAACCCCTGATCCGTTGGTAGAGGGAAGGAGGGATAGATGGATGTCTTTCCCTCCTGCACGATCAAAGGTCTGATCGATCTGTCCCAATACCTGAGCCCAAACGGCCAGGCGCAGGAGAGGTGAGGATAAGGAATATATGTGAGGGTATTCCAAACGGCCAGGCGCAGGAGAGGTGAGGATAAGGAGTATATGTGAGGGTATTACACGGGTTTTATTCACACCCCCCGTCCCGAATCCCGCCCGCGAGGGAAGGACTCGGGAACAGAGGAAAAGAATCCGTCACCCTTTTACTCCGTCGATCCTCAGGTCTGCAGGCAGCTGAGCTCAAAGTCAGTAGATCCTCAGTTGCAAAGTAAGGTAAGAAGGAACACCCTGGGTCCCGATTTCTTCGCCAAGCACGCTTGGTGCCCCCTCGGTGCGCCCCCCAACACGCTTCGGCACTCGAGGGCGGAGAAGAATGAGACACGGGTGGGCGGAGAAAGATGATCTGAGCAAGTTAAAGCAACTTGTAATCTGCCTCGCCTTTGCGAGGCAGGTGTTGCCACCAGCTGTCAGATTATTCTCAACGCAATGTAGTTGTACTGTAATGAATATGCATGCTGAGATCGTGTTGATAAACAAGATCGTGCTACGAAACGCAACTATATATAAAAGCAAATGTCTGGCCAGACGAAAGGTCGTGTTGACAAACACGAAAATTGCATGTATGTAAATTCTATATGGCGACTCCCGTTGGCGTTGCTCCTTAGGAGGCTGCCTTGGTTATCGCAAAAGATGTTTTTATGTGTGGCCACTTGTGTTGTATAGTGAAGTGCCCTAGAAGTATATAACAGCCACCGCTCAAGGCGAACTTGGATTATAATGAAGTTCAAGCCTTTCGAGCGGTGGGCCTTGCGGCCGACTCGCTGCGCGCTGCCGTTCTGGTAGAACCTGCGGTCCCACATCCTGTGGCCATCGTACGTCGCGTAGCTCGTCGTGAACGTCTCCCAAGATGTCCTCGGGATCCAGTGACGAAACCACTTGTTGTACTGGATGTCGCGGATGTATACGAACTCGTCGTTGTTCAGCGCGATGTAGATCCAGCAGTTGATGTAGTAGCTCCAATACCTGAGGCCCCAATGACTGTCCTCAAGGTCGTCGCGCCACCAGGCAGCGTAGTCTGTCGTGGCGCGCGGCCCCGCGGGCATGTGGTCCGCCGCGCCAGAGGCGCTGGGCTGTGCAGCATCGCCAGGGGCAGGGCGCGGCGGCGGCGGCGGATGGCGCGGCTCCATGGCATCATCAGACTGATGGGAGTGTGTATCAGGTTCGATCGGATCGGTTCTCATCCCTGAATAAACCCCCCTCTGGTCGGTGTGTGTCGGATCGAGGGAGCCCAACAACTCGTTAGCAATCGCAACAAGCTTGCGCTGCGTGACTTTCTCACGGGTGCCATCCGTTCTAGGGAGGGCAATCGTGACAAGTCCGCGAGCTTGCCGCGTTTGTCTGTCGAGTCTGCCCTCGTTCAACCACCATTTCTTCCGACCAGCTTGGCCTGTCCTGATGCTGGTATCGAGGATCGTACATGCATCACGCATGTCGTCCACGTTCCAGGCCTTCTTGCCCACGTTCACGCGAGCGCCTGTCATTTGGTGGTGGAACTTCAAATCGTTGAGAAAACGCTGGACGAGATTGGCATATGGGTAGTACAGAGGTCTGTCGTCATCAGCCTCGCCCATCAGTCTGCATTCGTGTGCAGGAGGGCGGCCAGAGTCGACCCACCCCTGATACCTCTTCCTAGAGGAATTGGCCATTCTCCTCAGCGGGTCTTTCTCATTACCTGGGAATGGGCGCGCGCCCGTCATGGTGACTTGCGCTCCGTCTCTCATGTACCTCGTGATGTCATCCTGGGAGAGCGTCATCTTGATCCAGTTGGTCAGCTTGTGGAGGTATGCTAGGTCGCTCTGGACGGCGGTACTTTTACCCGTAGCACCTACGGCTACGGTGTACTGCCAGCAGATGTCACAAAGGGTACCACCACCTGTAACAATCTCAAGGGATCAGTCTCGACCGCAATTCCGACATCGCGCGGTATCATGCTGGATCGTTTCTGGGGCTCCCTCCGTCGTGAGGTGCTCACGAGATCCCCAGCGAGTATCTTGACCACGAGCAAGACTGCGGCCGATCTGATCCATGGCCTCGCGGTTGATCTCGGCATTCGGTCGGGAAGCGATTGATCTACTCAATCCCTCGATCTCGATCCTAGACAATCTTTCCCCTGGCAGTCCTATGTGCTCTGTCGTGTCGCTGTCCGCATCCTCAGTATCACCATGGCATGCGTTTTCAGTACGGAGACGGCGAGCCTCCTCCTGCAAGGCGGACTCGTTGTCTCCCTCCTCGCGGTTGACTCCCGTCTGCTCGGCTATGATCCGTACCATGGTTTCTTGATCAGGAGCTGCGGATGCGACGCTGCCTGGGTCCTGGGGAGTGTCCTGCTCCGCGCCTGGGTCACGTGGCGCGGCAGGTGTTTCCACCAGCTCCGTCCATGCGGGGAAGCCTGGATTGCCGAATGTTTTGATGCAGTGTGTAAATAGATCACGCAACGTTTGGAGTGCGGGATGTTTCTGATGGATAGCATCTTTTGTGAAGTCACGGAGCTCAGCAATACTGTCCATCAATATGTTTTGATACACTTTGGAGATCCATTGAAAGACACCTGTAGTCGACTCCTCGATGGTCTCTGGGTCCAGGTAGTGTACCAACTTTTTGAAAAAAAAGCGATCTGCACTGCAAATTGGTAAGTCGCGGGCCCATTTGTGGGTATGATCGTAACTCAAGTAGCATTTCTCTGCGTTCCATGCTTTGGATCCGAATTGAATCTCAAATCGTAAGTACGACTGTGTTTTATCCACCACAATCTTGTCCGCGCCAGTGTGCACCTCAATGATTTGTTTCATCTTTATCATAGGTGAGTCCACCAACAACTCCGACGTCCAGCGGTATATGCGGCGGTCATATGACTGTTTGATCCACTTTGAGTCCTCCTCTGGGTCGTAGTCGGGGTGGTTGAGGAAGTCTTCTGGCGGGTCAATAACGTTGTCGAGTATGCTCGCGTCAACGTGCTCATCTGCTTGGATCTCTGCTGATAGATCTGCTTTCATATTGTCATTTGCCGCTTGTTCTTCGGCGGTGAGCGGTATGTTTGATATATCCACGATAACGGTAACCAAAGGTTCATCAGATGGGCCTGCCGT